CCGTTATTCACCAATTCTTTTTTTCCCTCCTTTCCTAGTGGAAATAATTTCTTTCTAAGCTTTCTGTTTTTGTATGACCTTCTATAATTGTCCTCTAGTACTACAAACTTTATATATATCCCATAATTTTCTTTCATCACGAAGAAGAAGAAGAAAGCAAGTTCCTTTCTTTTTTCCTCTTCTTTGGTAAAGTAATTCTTGATTTTTTTTCTTTCACCTCTTCCTTATTTCGTTTGGCCTCCATTATTCATCCAAGAAGTTGAGAATTGGAGAAAGAAGAAAATGGCTGGTGGTTTCTTGCCTTTCCTGACGATGGTTATTCTTCAGCTAGGCTATGCTGGAATGAACATTGTATCAAAACTTGCCATGGATTCAGGCATGAACCCTTTTGTTCATGTTGCTTACAGGCAACTCTTTGCCACCTTATCCATCGCCCCATTTGCTTATTTCTTGGAGAGGTACGTTGCTAGTAGCTGCGGATTTAAGTTGATTTTGCATGTAGAATCAACATTTGATAATCCAGGCAGGAGTTTCTTGAACTTCATTAGAGTCGAAATGTGGTTTTCCAATGAAACTGGATTGAGTGTCAAACATTAAAAGCTAATTCACTCAACATACAACCATTTTTTCATGGACTCTGCAGATTTACTTGGACTATCAAAGTGAAATTTAATGATGAATCTCCTCGCTTGATTAAGATAACACTGATTTTTCCTGTGTGCATGTTCATATCGATTGTAGTGCATGATCCTTGCGGTAAAATTTCTTTGATCATTTGATTTTTCTCGTCCAACAATCAAGAATCAAGATAGAGAAGGATTCTCTTTTCAAGTGTGGTCTGTTCACATGAAAGGCACCAAATGCTTTAGACTACTATACTACGGTTATGGACTTGAAAAAATATCAAATTCTTAAAAACCTGGAAATAATATAAAGAAATTGCAACGCATGCTTGATGATGGATGTTTCACGGTTTGATCGTGCTGTTTCTCACACAAGTCAAGCAGCCAAGCAGAGCAGTACCGCCCGAAATCTGATTTCTGCCTGTTCTTTCTTGCTTTGTCGCCCTTTTCTCGATAGCTGCAGCAGCCCTTTTCTTCTTCTTTTTCCACCTTCTATTTTATCCTGCCTTCTTCCGGTTTCGAAAGATACGTGTTATTTTTTCCTGCTTCAGAAAGCATGGCGACTTTTGAGAGTTTAACCATTAACTCTCCAAAAGAACGTGATGAAAGAGCGATACTCTCTGTACTTAAAATTTTTTTGTCCTGGTTTATATCCTGTACTATTGGTAGTTCATGCAATCTGATCTTACTAAGCACATATCCGAGTAGTTGATGAATAGCTCAAACAAAACTGAAAAGGTGATGAACCAGAACCAATGAGAGAATCTGTCTGTAAACTATAGAGCCATCTCCGAGCAAAAGCCTAACTCTAAGCAGTAATACATACTTTAGCATATATTTCTTGTAAGGATATGTAGCCATTTCTGTTATTGTAAAACGAATAGCTATTTAACTGAAACTCAAGAATCTTGATGTATAAATGCAGGGAAACAAGACCCCGGTTAACATTCTCGATCATTTTCCACATTTTCATGTGTTCTGTTTTTGGGTAAGTACGCGGCTAAACTCTTATCTTTCTTGGGTTAAGATGCTATATTTGGTACCATCACTTTGCATAGGTAGATTTATGCAATATTGGAAGGTATTCCATCAAGGATAGTTAGTTCTGAAGCTAGAATCTTCTAACTTAGGCTGAAAATACAGGGCAACCGTGAACCAAATCACATATTTTGTGGGGCTAAAGAATTCTACTCCAACTATTGCTTGTGCCTTGTCAAACCTAAGCCCAGCAGTCACATTTATCCTGGCTGTGCCTTTAGGGTAATTTTTCTTCTTCCCTCTACAGAATGCAAATTCTACTCCTTTCTTTTTGCCAAAAAAGGCACACTTGGTTCAAAGGAGTTTACGTCTTGCTAATACGTGTTTGACAGATTAGAAAGTGCAGGACTGAGGGCTAAGGCAGGACAGGCCAAGGTATTAGGGACTGTTGTATGTGTTGGTGGTGCCATTCTATTGTCATTTTACCACGGGCCAGTTGTCGGTGTGGGGCAGTCAAGAATTCATTGGAAATTTGCGGACAACTTGAGGAATAAAACTGTTAGCAACCATGTAAATTTTGTACTGGGGCCATTTATGCTGATAGTTAGTTCTGTTTCCTGGGCAGTATGGCTAATTATCCAAGTAAGCATAAGCAAATTCTTTCGGGTCTGCACCTTAAGCTTATCTGTAACCTTCATATGCTGTCACCAGATGAACTAATGATGGCTTCCTATTATTCTATCAGGCCAGGGTGGGCAAGATGTATGCTGCTCCCTATTCTAGCTCAGCATTGACATGTTTCATGGCCAGCATCCAGTGTGCGATTATTGGCTTTTGTTTCGATCACCACTTATCTGCATGGTCGTTATATCCTGCCATCCGAGCAGTCTCAAGTATCTATGCGGTATGAACCACTGCAACATGCACACATTGGAGCTTAAAAGGCACATCAATGGGAGAACATATGAACAAATGACTTGCTACAATTTATGATTCAGTCAAGCTGGTCCTTTTACTTTCTGACTACAGATTGCCCCTATTTAGAATTTGCTTGCTTAGTCATTTTACTTCTTTTTTCCCGCTTCCCTAGCTTAGACCAATTGATCCGCTTGTTAGGCAACGATTTGTGTTATGATTGTTCTTGTTAAAAACATTCAGCTGATAGGAAAGGACTAATGCAGGATGGGACTTTGCTTTTCAGGGAATTGTCTGTACCGCATTAGCATTTTGCCTCATGTCATGGTGCATCGAACGAAAAGGACCCTTATATGTCTCGGTTTTCAGCCCTTTGCTGCTTGTCATTGTGGCTATTCTCAGTTGGGCAATACTTCAGGAGAAACTATACATTGGAATGTAAGTAAACTAACTACTCAGACAGGAGTACTAATTTTTCAGTTTGATATCCCCCTCATTTACTGCAACTAAACCATTTGTCGCGAATCTTATTTAGGCCAAAACAAAATTTCATGGAAAATCAGAACATAATTGTGTGAGCATTCATTGATGTAGTAGTTGTTGTGGTTGTTGCAGGGTAATAGGATCTACCCTGATTGTTATGGGACTTTACTGCGTCCTCTGGGGAAAGAATGAAGAGATGAAGCCAACTAAAACTCCTGATCAGGAGGTAGATTCTGGGAAGCAGTTTACCATGGAGGATTTGGAATTACAATTGTTCAAGAAGTCAAATACTTCTGCAGGCACAAATGGAGAGAATTAGCAGTATCACTACCTACAGTTCACTGTAATAGCTCCACAATCAAAGTCAAAGATTTTTGTGTAACTTGAATCCAATTGGTAACCAGAAATTCAGGCTTCCCTGATTTGCATCTCACTGCAGGTTTATGAACTAGGAGAATGAGTAGTAATAATTGAAATTGATTGAAAATATTTCTTGATGCTTTGTAGTAATGCCAACTAGAAAAAACCTGAAAGAAGGACTTCATTAGATAAGTTCCCAATTCATTCAGTCCCATATGCTCAATACAATGAAGTGAATCCAATACAGGGGTTTAGTTAACATTCTTCAGAATTTCTTATTTGCCATTTAGAAAAAAAAAAAAAAAATCTCTGAGTGCATCAGTTGTGGCTACAATTAATTCCAGAAAACACAGCATGAAGGATAGTATCCAAAGGCATTGGTTAATGCCTTTGGGGACCATACAAAATAAATTATTTTAAAGTCTTCTGGCCATTTGTAATGTTTGTACTTAGAATGAAAATAATAGAACGAATCCCGCACGAAAGTGATGATTGGAAAATGGAAATTGGTGGCATGATTTGTATTTCTTAAACATAAAATTGTGATATTAACTTCATATCTCTATTCTAAATTCACACTATGTACAAATTTCTATGCCAATGTTTCCGCTCATTTATACTAGGAAAATCCTATACTAAGGGATATATAAATGACTTAAACGACATAAATAAATTAATCAATAACATACGTCATTGATTTCAGGAATTCTTATATTTGTATCTATCGTTTAAGAATGTGGTGATTCAGAATCGTTTTTCATTGACGAACTCTTGACAGTTATACTACAAACTAACAGGCATCAAATGTGGAGTAACTTGTGAATGGAAAGAAAGGCAAGTTAGATGATTTTCTTTTCTGTTTTCTTTATGCATAAAAAAAAATTAAATTACATTTTGGTAACCACGAGCTTGGAAAAAGCAACGAACTCTAGAAGTTAAGAGTGTTGTTCACCCATGAACATAAACATTACTCCGTTGTCAGCGGGAACCATTGTGACACAAATGTTCATCGTGAAAGTGTGGGTTTTGTGATTTCAAGCTATCCTTACGATTAATTTATGTCAGGTTGAGTTTACTACATAAATACAAATTCAGAAAAAATATTGAAAAATAAAAGGAGAAAGAATAGAGAGAAAAGCAAAAGAAATAAAGGGGAAAAAAGATATGAATTCGGTAAAAATATTGAAAAATAAAAAGTGAAAGAATAGAGAGAAAAGCAAAAGAAATAAAGGGAAAAAAAAAACTTAGAGCCAGTAGAATGGATGGAGATCCTTATCTAAAAACGTCTTATGATCCTTAAGTTAGTATATATAAAGGGAGAGGAAGAAATATGACGTAATTTTTTTTTTATCAATTTTTCTTTTATCTTATTTATCGTACCACTAAAAAGTTTACTATTAAAACCCTCTAATAATTACCAATAATTACTTATTATTATTTAGTAACACAAAAAAAATCACATTATACAGCTTAATAAAACTTTTTAATTAATAGCTACTTATTATTTTTTTCTTGTAAATTTTTTTAAAATTTGCACGCACATACAGTGTGCATTTTGCAACGAATTATAGAGGGGGTGGGATGTTATGAAACTGAACATAAGTGGGCAAAGCGCAAAAAAGGCAAAGATCAGGGAGAACAGTATATTTTACCTTTTTATCTAAACACAGCTACAATAAATAAACGGAGTAGACAACCCACTTAGAAAATAATTTTAACACAGTTCGGTTAAAAAGCAAAAGAAAAGACACAGCTGCAACTTTGATCGTTGGTGGTGGTCATTATGGCCTCTCCTCCGCTTTGCTCTTTCTGTCACGGCCGCTTTACTTTCTCCTCCTCCAAAACAATTCATGAAGTTCTTCTCTATCTTCTTCTCCTTTCTACATTTTTGGGCTCTTTACCAAACTCAGTTCTTGGCGAGTGCAAGAACCCGCCAGTCATATTCAACTTTGGAGATTCCAACTCGGACACTGGTGGACTTGTGGCCGGACTCGGTTACTCCATCAACTTCCCAAATGGTCGCACTTTCTTCCGCCGATCGACCGGCCGGCTCTCTGATGGCCGCCTCATCATTGATTTTCTTTGTATGTTCTCTCTTAATGCTCCATTTTCTCATCCACATTGATCACCAATATTCTGCTCTGCAACATTTTTTCTGCTCAGCAAACTATTAAGTTTGTGTTCATTGTACTCAAAAAAAAAAAAAGAAATATTTCACTTTTTTGTTCCTAGAAAGTTCATATACTCATTGCATGCAGAACTCGATTGAAAGTTAGGAGAAAATATTTAGTGTTGTTTTTGTACCACGTTAAATTCTGCAACTGGACTTATCTACAAGGAAAGGTTCCCTGTTTAGAGGGGGGTAAAAAAGAAAGGATAAAAAAGGAGGAGAAAACGGAGGGAGGTGGAGAAAACAGAAAAGTGGATCAACAGCAGTCGAACCCATCGATGGGTCTTTTTTTGGCAAGAAAATAGAGTGGAAAAGAGTATTTTAGATTTTTATTTGGAAGCATACTCTTTAGTTTAGTACACTTGAATCTTAATTCTTAAATTGATGGATGTTTCACAGGCTCGGTGGGGTCCAATATTGCTTGACTTTTTTTGATTTTCTGACTGCTCAGTCTGCTCTGATGCATGCATCTGTTAGTAATTAAATTTTGTCTGGGAAATGTTCTGTTAGCTTAGCTGGCTACGGAGTATGAAATGTGTTTCTTTTTCTTTTTCCTTTTTTTGATAAAGAGGATAATTGCATTCCAATTTCTGCACTAATAGCAATATTTGCATCAAAACATGGCACAGATACACAGATCTGAAATTGATCATAATATTGAAATTCCGAGAAACTCTAAGAGTTTCTTCCATCAAATGAATATCACCAGAACCCAATACAACTGTGTTCATGTCTTCCAATAGTCAAATTTGATAAAAACTACTCAAGTCCAAAGAAAAAATTTAGATCTAACTTCTAGGTTTGGTTTCTGGGATCTAACGAATTTTTTATCTCATCCACTGAAAAAAGAGACAAAAAAATAAAAATACTCATACAAGAATATCTTAAGAGAGAATAAAACTCCCACTAAAAAAATCTATGGGAGAAGAATTTCTCAATAAAAAACCCTAGGAGAAAGCAACCTCCTATGTAATGTTGGTGATGATGAGAATTTTTTAATGTTGGTGATAATTTCTGTCAAATCGTAGATGATTAGTTGATTATTGAGCTTTTTTGTCAATTTCCCTCAAGTCCCTACATAGGTCAATTAAATCAGTATGCCGATGATCAGAAATTTTTTATGTTGGTGATAACTTCTGTCGAGTGGTACATAATTAGTTGATGATTGAGCTTTTTTTTTTTTTTTTTTTTCTTTTGTCAATTTCCCTCATGTTCCTACACAAAATTAGGAGTCGCAATAAGGGTGGATCCCCCTGTCCCTTGCCCACCGTCAGCCGCTCTCCCCGCCTCGCCCCCGCCTCCACAAGGAAAAGAAAGTGTAATTAGTAATTTAGTATATATATGTATTAGTACAACTAATCAATAATTTATATTAGTATAAATATATAATTATTAATATAATTAATAATATTAATTATATTAAATATATATAATCTAATACTTATAACTAATATATATATATATATATAAAGGCTAGTGACAGGGCGGGGGTATACTCCCCTGGCCCCGTCCCGTTTTTTAATTGAGGGAGAAAATGACCTCTCGCTCCAACCTATGCCTCGCCCCATTAACCCCTTGCGAGGTGGGCACTCGATTCAATTGTCATCTATAAATCAATTAAACTAGTATATATTAAAGAAATTAGAGTTGCCACCCCCACAATGTTAATAGTAATGTCACTTGTCATATGCTAGTCGTAAAGCCCTCCATGAATAATATAATATCAGGTTAATATTTGCTTGACGGTGTAATAGCAGAAAATTATAATCAGATTTATGTAAGGATAAATTATCTTTTATCCTCTTATAGTTTGGTATTTTACCGCATAACCTTCCTATGATTTAAAACCCTAAATATAGCACTTTTATAATATAGGTTAAAGTGTCACCGTTAGTTTTTCTATTAAAACTAATGGTCAATAGTAAAAAATCAAAATCAAACTAATTATTTGACAAATTTACCTTTTCATTACTTCTTTTTTTCCTCCAAAAATAAAAAAGAAGAAATTGAAATAAAATAGATAAATAAGAAACAAAAAGTACCATTAAAGATTGGTTAAAAAACCTATAATGATATTTGCAGTAAAAAAAGATTAGGTATTTTTTGTTTCTTATTTATTTTTTTTATAGTTCCCTTCCATCTTTTTTGTTTCTTATTTATTTATTTTTTATTTCCCTTTCATCTCTTTTGTATTTGGAGAAAATTTAAGATTTTGTAGGCCAAAGTATCGGTTTTCAAAATTATCTCTTCTCTTCCAGAGAGAGAGAGAGAGAAAGAGAGAAGGAATAAAGAAAAAAGAAAAAAAGTAGTGAAATGGTAAATTTGTTAATTTATTAGTTTAACTTTGACTTTTTACTGTTTACTGTTAGTTTTAATGGAAAAACTAATGGTGACGATTTAACCCAAATTATAAGAAAGTTATATATAGATTTTTATATCATAAGGGGTTGTGTGGTAAAATATCAAACTAGAGAAGGGTAAAAGGTTATTTACTCTTTATGTAATATCCAGAAGATGCATGCCCAAACGGACATGTACCTTCTCGAGCTGATAAGAGACAGGGCAATTTCAATTAATCAAAAGAAAAAGATAAGCACTGGTTTGTTTCAAATTTGAATTCACCATTAGCTTCTTTTTTCTTTTTTTGGGGGGGAGAGCTGGCGAGGCCCATCTGCCACTCTAGATTTACCAGTCAATCCTTTCAGGAATGCTTTTTTCTCTTTTTCTTTTTCTATTATGTTTTGAACTCTGCAGCTTCAAATGATTGCTATAATTAAAACTTAAATGATGATGTTGTTCAAAGGCGAACCCAACGGAAAAATTATGAAGATCTTGGCGTTGGAAAGATCATATTTTGCAACTATTCTTCAGGAAAGAGCGAACGGTCCTCGAATTAACTCTATTGCAATGCTAGATTGGAACTTCGAACTCAATTTCTTCCTAGTCGTTCTTGATGTGTTAGTTTGGTTATTACTGGTAAAACATTTCAGTCAAATAATTTCTTTGTGCATAACTATTATCATTGGATATTAAGAACACAAGGGAAGGTACTCAAATATGACAATGCAACTTAGTTTCAGTTTTGAGACTGTTGAATTGGCTGAAAAGGAATCCAGAAAATATCCATACAAAAAGAAAATGGCACTATGGAGATTATTACTAATTGGGCTGCAACGAAGTTGCAGACTTGTTGAATGCATGAAAAAGGACAGTTCCGCTGGCCTGCACTGTTCTTGGTATAAGAAAGATGGCAATATGGATAAATCCATCATGGAAAACAACTTATTTTTAATTCTTGGGTGTTCCTCTGAATTACATCCATTGCTTGCTTTTCATCTTCTCTTCTTTCCTTAGTTATGGTGTTCACATGCTTCTGCTTTTGCAGGCCAAAGTGTAGACACAACTTTCTTGAGCCCATACCTGGACTCAATGGGATCCACTTTCTTAAATGGTGCCAATTTTGCAATTGCAGGTTCTTCCACATTACCTAAAAATGTACCTTTCTCATTAAATATACAGGTCATGCAGTTTGTTCATTTCAAGGATCGCTCTATTCAACTGGTTGCTGCAGGTAAATTCAACTTCCTTTTTCTTTTTTAAACGTGATAATTTAGCCTTGCAATGACTTGGTTTTCTGAGTTTCGAAAATTATCGATGAGCAAATGTGTGAAAGACAGTATTAATTAACATTCTGACAGTTGTTTTGGCTTGCAAAAATTCTCCTCTTTCTGGCTGGCTCTACTGTATCTGCACATAAGGGTTGAGACAGGGGAGCTCATAGTAACGTAACATGAAGCTATTATAGGTTATATAACGCAGTAGCTAAGCTAGTGTAGCATATTTTTCTTGCACAATCTAAGTAGAAATTAAACATGCTGTAATGGTTGAAAATATGATTCAAAAAGCCCCTTCGGTGCAAAGAATTAGAAACAAAAAGATAATCATCACATGAGATGGAAAACATTTAAATTTTTCTTAACCATCCTACTCGCTGATGTGTACAAACCGGAACGGTTGATTTTCATTGCACAAGGACTCAACTTTGAGTGCAAAATAGAATTCTTTGAGATTCATGTAGCTCCATGCCACTGTTAAGTCCTATAAAAATTACTGAATGACCCTAAAAACTTAATTTGACCTATAGCATAGATTATCCTTGTCGATTCATTCTCAGGCTTTTGACTGTTATTTTGGTAGAAAAGCAAAGGGTTGCCTCTAGCTTATTAAGTTTTCATGGTCCATGAAAATAAATGACAGAGATTTAGTTTGCTGTCACTAGCTGACGTAGTTCTTTCCTTCTCATTTGATTCGGAAAACTTTTTCTGTCCATGAATATTATGTCAAGTTATACTGCATGATTCTGCTTTCATGTCTCTAGTGTAGCTGGTGTAAAGTGGAAATTATCAGTTTAGTGCAGCTTTTGGCCAAAGCCATTAATTTTCTTTCATTTGAATGCTTTCTGCATCTAAAAACTGCAGTAGACTAGCAAACCAACTAAAAGATTCTTCTTTTAGGTTCATTGCACTTCATAGGTGATGCAGGTTTCCGCAACGGGCTTTATGTGATTGATATAGGACAAAACGACCTGGCTGATTCATTTGCTAAGAATCTATCCTACAAGGAAGTTGTGAAGAAGATTCCCTCAGTTATATTGGAGATTAAATATGCTGTGGAGGTGAGTTTAGAAATCTTTGCACACTCCACCATCCCCCTCCTCACTTTCCAGGTTCTTGGATTTGTGAAGGAAACATCTAACTGCAGCAAGATTAGCCCACAATCAATAGATATCATGATGTGAAGCTGTCAGATTTCCAGTATGATGCTGCTTTTCCAAGTTGATGAAGAAAATATAAATACATTGAAAATGATGCCAAATACAAAACTTATGTGAAGAGTAAATTGATCCTTTATTTGCTTAGGCCAGCTCACAAAAATGACAAGTAGTTGTGTTTTAGAGACCCTAGATCAAGATGCCATGACCTGTACACAAGTTTCCTAAGATCTTACTTGGAAGCTCACTTGTGTTTTATTGAGAAATTGTCTAGATAAATCAATACCAATAAAAATCTTGACTTGTGGAATACTCCTTGCCTTCTGATGTTGGCCGATGTAAAACTTATTTACCTTTCTATATCGAGCACCTATTATTAGCTCATGTGAGCAGTTATCAGGCGAAGATCAACAACCACAACTGTTTCTCTGGAAATGCAGGACATATATGCTCAAGGTGGCAGGAAATTTTGGGTCCATAATACAGGGCCACTGGGATGTCTTCCTCAAAAACTGTCAACAGTTCAAAAAGCTCCAGATGACCTCGATCCATATGGTTGTATTTCGAGCTATAATGATGCTGCAAGAGTTTTCAATGAAGCTCTTCTTCTTCTGTGCGAAGAATTGAGATATGAAAAGAAGGATGCTACTATTGTTTATGTAGATGTATACACTATCAAATATGACCTGATAGCCAACTCCACCAAATATGGTAAGCCGCAAGACATATAGAAATTCTTTCTCTTGTTCCTACCAAGCATGGAGATACTCGTAAAAGGCTTTAATTATCGCAATGTAGGAAAACCTTGCATGAAAGTGCTAGTTTTTCCGAAAGAACCAGATCATATGCTTGATATATCTCTCCAAAATATTTATATATGCGAAGACGTTGCCTTGTCAGTGTAAAACGAAACTGGGGATAGCGTTGAAACAGATACTCCAAACCCAATTTTTAGGATCGTCTTTGTTGCATGGTAGTGATTATTTCATATTTTGTCATGCAAGTCCTCTTGTTCTTAATTTAAGAGTATCTATCAATTTCAGGAATTATCTGCATTTTTCATCTACACGAGCTTTATGCATGTACATCTTGAAAATGCTTTTATGCTTAAACAGTATCTAGAATCCTTCAGCCCTTGACAGCCCCACTCCAGATTGATCACATTTTCCCATCATTGCAGGATTTTCATCTCCCCTCATGGCGTGTTGTGGATTTGGAGGACCTCCATATAACTATGATATTAGGGTGACATGTGGTCATCCAGGCCACCAGGTCTGCGATGAAGACTCAAAATACGTAAGTTGGGATGGAATCCATTATACTGAAGCTGCAAACAGCATCATAGCCTCAAAAATACTTTCCACTGATTATTCTACTCCAAGAATTGCCTTTGATTATTTCTGCAACTGACTCCAGCATGTTGTATATCCATAATTGTGCATGCAATGCTCAATGTACCATCCCAGTTCTTTGGAAATTTGGGTATCTGATATCTTGTTCGATTAAGTAAAAAATTGTCCTGCAAAGTGATGCACATAAAATGATGCACAAAAATTGACAGGTGCCGAACCTGTACAATAATAATTACCTACCCAAGAAAAATACATATTTTGTATAAAGTGGTGAGTAGGGTCGAATCCACAGGGATTGGGGAGAAATTTGCTTCCTTTAGAGTCAAGATAAATAGGGGGTTTTAGAATTAAATGCTAATAAACTAAATAACTCAAATGCGAAAAATAATTTAATTAACAGAAATAATTGGGAGAGCTCTAGCCAAGGGTACACTTCAGAAATGGTTCATGCACTGATCATCGATTCACAGATAATTCCAACATCTATCAATAGATTAGTTATAGTTGTCATGCACGCGATAAACAACCAACCTTTCCTTAATTTTTCGATAGTTAAGGTACGACCGTTAACTATTTTTCTAACCCGGAAACAACCCTAGGTACGATCGTAGGATTTAATTTCTAGATTGCATTAATAATTAGAAAGGCCCAATCCTAACTAACAAATACGCTACGAGGGTTTGTTTAAATTAGATCGTATTCTCCCCTGACATAAACCCAATTACGCCAGTTGCTACTAAAATAGAGATAACGAACAATTACGGATTCAATTACCTCTATTTAGCAAAATAGCCTATATGAATAATTAATTATTGCGCACTAATCAATCATACATAAGGACTATAACAATTAAAAACAGGAAACACATAAATACCAATAAATGAGGAAACGATTAAAATAATTTCGATCTCACAGTAAATGCTGAACCAAGTCTTCAGTTGTCCCCTTGATTAGAATTAGGAGGTTAGTCCTCCATTAATGGAGAACAACCATACGAAAGAACTACCTGAAGTTTACAAGATTGTTCCTAGCCAAATCGGCCAACTAGCCAAGGAAAAGTAATAATCAATACTAAGAACAGGACAATGCTACAGTGCCTATAGTTATGGTAACGATATTAGAGAAACCTACTATTACAGGTTTCTATTACCTTTAGTGACAGATCCAATTTTTTAGCGACTTTTGAAATATTATATTAAAATAATTAATATTAAATTTAGTAAGTTTTTAATTAAAACAAGTAAATTTATGCCTGAAAGATAAGTTTTTGTCAGAAATAAAAATTTACACTTTGAGTAATTTAATTTACTTATTTTTTGACGAAAATTACTTATTTTTGAATTAAACTTACTAATACTACAAGTAAAAAATGTTCATATTTAAGTAAAAAAATTACCAGTTTCTAAAAACGGTTTTGGGTTCTGAAACACTTTCGGATATCATCTTGTCAAAGTCATCTCCCTTCTTATTACTTAGTTCTCAGTTCCAACATACGATTGAAGGCAAAGATTTCCACTTTGGTCCACACTTTCTCTTGGTTACAAGCGAATAAATTTTTCCACTTCAAATTTTCATCTTCAGATCCCACTTTCCCTCTATCCTTTCTCATCGATAGATTGTTTTTGGGTGCTGCCAAATGCAGACACAACAAAAGGGTTTTTCGACGGTGGTAGCCAATCAAAGATAGCAGTGACGAGGTTAGCCCATCATGTCCTCTTGAAATCGTTTGATTATATTGCTGTAATTTATTTATATTTCATTTGTTTTGTTTGTCAAGATTTTCTTGCGAAATCAAGGCTGAGAATTTGAAGATTTTATTGCAATTTTGGGGCTGAAAATGTCCACTGAAACATCTAGCCTTGATTTGGTTGTAGTTTGGATTGTCTACTGGTAAAACATGCTTAATAGCCATATGAAGCATCTAGGACTTGACTAGACGTTTAAGTTAAATGTGATTAATTTGTGAATGCATATAAGATGTTTGGTGAAATGTCAAAGAGAAATCTGTGTGTTATGATTGCTACTCTGTGCTCTTCAGCAGCCAGAGATGAGACCAGCTCTTAAAGAAATCACCCTCGTCAGTCGACAACAGCGCTCAAGATCACCCTTGGGATTGGCTGAAAATAGACCTACTTCTGTTGGAAACTAAATAATCATATTAGAGACAGTGATTTCATCTTCCTTGTACCTGCTTTCTTCCTCTTCTTCTTCTTCTGTTTTCCCCCCCTTTTGTCTTATGGGTTTTTGTAGCTTTTCTTTTTTTTTTTGTTGTTGGGTTTAATCAGATGTACATATTTAGATGAGAAGCACTAATACTCTCTTTCCAGTCTTGTTTGTGGTGATGGGATGAGTGCAGCTTCATCAGTTTCTTATAATATAACTTGAAATTTTGCAGAGAGGAAAAGATATTAATATACCTCCTTCAATTTTGCATAAAGGGATGTTTTCCTATCTTCCTTTTTTGCTTGATTCTGAATTTTTTGCCTTTTTAATTTCTGGTGTTCCAATATATATATATATATATATTTTTTAAGCTTTAAGTTCTTGAATCTAAGGTTGTGAATTTGCTGCGTCCTGATTCTTCCTCCAACCGACAAAACAGAGGTCCTTGCTGTTTTCTTTGATTTTAATTTTTTTGTCCTTTATTGTTGTGGCTGTTTTGCAAAACGTGGAAGTTAAGGCCCCCTCAAGGGTGGGTTTGGCCGGTGCAATTCAATACTAAGAAATGAAAATCAGTAGAAATGACTTGCAGACAATGACTACCTATTTCCTGGAAAACGGTTTTGTCCTTTTTCTCTAGATATTTTTTGATCTTTCATTTTGTATTCCCACTTGAAAAATGGAACCCATTAATTGTTAGTTATCATATTGTCTCTGGTTGGCTGCCCCTTAAATTTTAAAAATTAGAAGTCATAAATCAGACTTTGATTTTTCTTTTCTATTAATTTTCGGTATGTATAAAAATTACCGCAATTATTTTCTATTAAAATATGCCTAAGTATCCGTTGACAGCTTTGATGAATGAATTCTGTACTTATTTTCTATTAAAATATGCATAAGTATCCGTTTGTATATCCTCTTTCCTTTCCTCTTGCTCTCAATCCAGTGATCGGTAATGGGGTAGGTTGGTACTGATTGAAATAATTTTCTCGCAAAAAGTCTTCAACCAGAATTTTAAAAGGAAACCTAAGGTTTTGATGTTGCATTGGTCTTTCTTTTGTGTTTTATACGCTCGAGTTGTTGAGGCCTCCCTCTTTCTATCTCAGTCAAGCCAGATTCTTTGCTCCTGCGTTGTATGTTCTTGTTTCAGAAAGAGGGTTTATCAGGTTGGGTAGTTTAGTTCATGTTCTTGATGCTAGAGGGATGGAATTGTTTTTCTTATCAAAATGGCATGTTGTAGTTCCCTTTTCGTTCATTGTTGTGCGATAGATTTAGGTGATGAATAGCCGAGAGCTACGGAAAGCTTGTAAATGTGATTTTGCAGAGAAAGGTCCTGCTGCATTTTTTTTCTTTTGCTGATTAGTTCCCTTTGTCCCTGACAGTCAGCTCAGATTTTTGCTTTAATCCTGCAACAAAATGTAGCTTTTGATTTAGTTGATAATTGAGAGTTAAGATCCTGGTAGTTGGTGAACATGTCTGCATGCTGAAATGGAAAGAAAGTTGCGGTATGGAAACTTGCAGAACCTTGCGGATAAGAAATTGCAAAAGCATAAGAAAGCTTCGTAACATGCATGCAACAAATTTCAGAAATTGCATGTTTAACCCTCGAATTTTGGCTTAATGTTACTAAGGCCCATAACAATTAGGAAAATACAATCAATTTTGTCACTTCAAAATCTGAATTGTTGTTGGCATGCTTTAATATGTTTTTTGGACAGATTTTTCGTGAATTTTAGGATGAAATAGGGAAGGTTTAATAATTTTGAAGAATTTATAGTTTTGATTTTCATTTGATTAATATTTTAGCTAATTTTGTCATTTAATCATAATAAATCAGTTTCCATTCATCATTTTGTGAAGTTTAGCATTTGATCTTGACAATGCTACAGTGCCTATAGTTATGGTAACGATATTAGGGAAACCTGCTATTATAGGTTTCCATTACCTTTAGTGATAGATCAAATTTTTCAGCGGCCTCTTTTGAAATATTATATTAAAATAATTAATATTAACTTTAGTAAGTTTTTAATTAAAACTAGTAAGTATATGCCTGAAAGATAAGTTTTAGTCAGAAATACAAATTTACACTGTGAGTAATTTAATTTACTTATTGTTTGACAAAATTTACTTATGTTTAAATCAAACTTACTAATACTAAAAGTAAAAAATGTACATATCTAAGTAAAAAAAAATTACCGGTTCCTGAAAACGGTTTTGGGTTCCTGAAACACTTTCGGATATCACCTATCTCTTTAGAGTCATCTGCCTTCTTCTTATTTAGTTCTCAGTTCCAACGATTCGATCGAATTCCCAGGCCAAGGTTTCCACTTTGGTCCTGCTATGCATTGGTGGTGTGGTGTTGTTGACTTGTTATTTTCATAGCTAATTTTCGATCGGGTCATGATATTAACCAGAAATTGTAACCAACTCTCCAATTTAAAATAGATAGACGACAAAAGACCAGTGAGATCCTTATTGCGGGGGTATCCTCTCCAAACCCTGCTTTGGGTTATGTTTATCCGCGTTCCAGGAAGGATCCTCACCGACTCCGCTTCTTCTGTTATCGAATGGATAATTTGGAAACTTTCAAAACTAAAATCCTACAAGAGAGAGGATTATCGCCTAATCCCAGAACAAACCAGACGATTTCTGGTTTCCTGATCCCATCGTTCTTTAGAAATAGCTCTTTTAGCTCTGTATAAACGAAATCAAGACCTCGTCCACCCCCCTACAAATTTAACAGAAGTAATCCAACATATTAACATTAACAGCATCAAATGATTAACAGCATCAAAAAATTTAAGAAAACTATATTTTAATAATTGTTGTCATTGACACTTAATTGAAGTTCATTAAGAATAATTGAAATATGTAAATATCAATACTCTATTCAAATGTAAATATTCAACCTAAGTAACAAAATAAATAATAGCTAAACAAACGAAATATGCGTTCAATTGATCGTGTTCAAACTACACATTCTGTTAATAGTTAGTATATATGAAATTGTATTT